AGGGCTCCCGGCCCACCAGGCACCCCCAGGAGCTCACCCACCAGCACCCTGGAGACGATCACCGGACGCTCTGCTTTGCCGCCCAAGGCCTCGGGCCCAGCAGACCTGGTCTTCTGGGGAAGCCACATTCAAGCCCGGCCGCCCCCAGCACCGGCTGAGTCTCCAGTTCTTTGGCCTCCTGCACAGGCTCGTGGTGGGGACTCAAGGGGACGAGGCTCCTGGTCCACAGCAAGCACTGGGGAGGGGCTGCGTGCTAAATGATGCCATCACATGTTTGTCATCGTGCTTCTTGGTCAAGTCCACGACCAAGAAATTAAGAACAAACACAGGCTAGGATGAGTCCGTGTGACCTCAAGAAGACTCAAGAGGACCGAAGAGAGACCCTGGGGTGTGTGACTTTGAGCCAGAGCTACGATTTGGAAGGAGGAAATCCACAAAGCAGAGGCCGGATGAAGGTGAGCTGCTCCTGGCCCTGTTCAAAGCTGTGCTGGCTGAACTGTGTCCCCAGCTTCCTGTGCTGAAGCCCCAAACGCCAGCACCTCGGACTGGGGACTGACGTGAAGACAGGGCTTTCAAGGAGGTGATTATGTGAAAGTCAGGCCATTAGGGTGGGCCCCCTCTAACCTGACTGGTGTCCTCCTAAGAGGAGGGAATTTGCAGGGTATGGTGGCTCACGCCCATAATCCCAGCACTCTGGGAGGCCAAGGTGGGACGATCACTCGAGGCCAGGAGTTCGAGACTAGCCTGAGCAAGGGCAAGACCCACCTCCACAAAAAACAGAAAAATTAGCTGGACATGATGGCTCATGCCTGGGGTCCCACCTACTCAGTAGGCAGAGGCAGGAGGATCACTGGAGCCCAGGAGTTGGAAGTTGCACTGAGCTTCCAACTATGAGGACGCCACTGCACTCTAGCCCAGGCAACAGAATGGGACCCTATCACAAAAAAAAAAAAAAAAAAAAAGGAAACCGAATACAGAAAGAGAGGCAGGGAAGGCAAGGGCACGGAGGGAAGACCACGTGAGGATGCAGGGAGAAGGTGGCATCTGTAAGCCAAGGGGAGGGGCCTCAGAAGGAACCAACCCTGCGGATCCCTTGACCTTGGACCCCCAGGCCCCAGAACGTTGAGAAATAAATGTGTTTAAACCACCCAATCTGCACTGTTTTGTTACTGCAGCCCAAGCAAACCGTAACAACACACACCCAGTGATTGCAGCGTTTCTCCCCCACAGACAAGGCGGGAGCGAGAGGGCCTGTGGTTCTCACGGCGTGCCCTCCTCTCCTCTCCCACCCTGCGCCGGCCCAGGCGGGGCTCTGTCCTCACGCCCTCACAGGACAGCCCTCCGAGCATGGATGTGTGGTGGAGCCCAGGCTCTGCACGCAGGGCTGGGCGGATGCAGACCTGGCTCCTGGGCCCCTAGACCCCGGCCCTCTGCCCACCTGCCTGCCCTCCTTCTCTGCCTGCTCCCTCCTCTGGGCTGGGAAGTGTACCCAGGCTTGGCCCTTCCGTACCCAGAATAGCTCTGTGTTCTTCCATCCTCCGGGACACTGGGACCCACTGGGGGGCACACGTGGACTCCGTCCCTGCCCACAGGGCCCTACCGCCTGGGGGAGGAGCCGACAGTAGGGAGGGGACCACAGAAGCGCAGGCCACGCCACAGCTCTGGAGACGCGGAGGTGAGGACCCTTCTCCCCTCTCATCTACTCCGAGGCGCCTGAGCTCCCCGCCCACGAGGCAGCAAGTCCAGGGCCATTTTACTTTGTCCCTCTGGTGAGCCTGGAATTAATGTGTATCGTGTCTGTTTACAGCGGACAGGCACTCTGCGCACATTGGAAACCCTTCATGTCTGCTCACGTGACGTGGGCTCACGTGACGTGGGCTCGTGGGGCGTGGGCTCACGTGATGTGGGCTCACGGGACGTGGGCTCGAGGGACGTGGGCAACGGCTGCATCCCACCGCATGTCAGCAAGTGACAGGTGATCTTCAGTACCAGCGCAGCGTGGGGAGCCACACTCTCACACGCCGCAGGCGGGAGCGGATCCCGGCGCCACCTCTCCGGTCGGCGGGCGACCAGGAGCCCTCTGCCCGGTCTCGCTGTGCATTTCCTGCACAGTAGAACTGGGTGGACGGCCACAGTCTGTCCTTCCCTTTAGGCTGGATGAGCTCGGCGAGCCGAGATGGCTCTCCGAGATAAATGCCTGGCCCTTCTCAGGAAGACAATTAACGAGCTCAGAGACTTGCTTAAACAGAGATGAAATGTGCGATTAGCAGACGCGGGGCCATCCATCCGCCCGCCAACAGGACGTCTCCTCCTCGCAGCGCCGTTCACCCGACGCAGCCGAGCAGACCCACTAAACACACCATGGCTACCGCGTCTATTTTTGAGATAATTACGAGGCTCGGGCTTGGATCCACTTAAAGGCAGAAATGCGGGACAATCAAGGATTAAGGCGGACTCTCTCTATCCCTTTCTCCTCAGCTGAAAATGTCCCAATAGGCTTTAAAGGGAAGAGAAAAAAAACCACATGAAACTTTCATCAGAGCCTGGTAAGTTGCTGCAGGAGCTACGGGGCTCGAAGTTCCAATTCTGAGCAGGGCTTAGCACGGTAATTAGGCACCTGCCCTCCGTGCCAGCCTGCTGCACTCCTCGGACACCCCTCGGCTCTCTAAGTCAGGAACGAGTGACTTAAGGGGCAGAGGAAAAAAGAAGGAGAGAGAAAGAGAAGGAGAGAGGTTCAAGGAGGGACAGGGAGCACAGGTTTCGGGGCAGCCTTGCCAAGCCTCTAATTGCACTCTTGAATTAACAAGCCGTTCACCTCTGAAGGTTTGGACGTTGCTATTCTATGCACCGCCTTGAGACATACAGCCATCCTCTGCAGGTGTAACCTTGCAACAGCAAGACCACAATGGGGTTAGGTCACCCGGGAGCCAGCTTTCTCCTTTCCCCTCCAGCCTGCAAGCTCCTAGAAGGCACAGCAAGAATGGAAAACCACCAGAGTCCCTCCGAAATGTCCTGGCTGGCAAGCAGCTACTCTGTCCCTCTCCCTAGTAAGGAAAAGATGAGAAACAAAGCATTTCCACCGGCATGATGTTCCTTGTTACCAGCTTTGTGAGCAGAATTTCAATCTTGACATCTGAGCACATCCCTTCCACCACCCCCACCCTGATGACAGTAACAATATCTATCATCGCTAAGACGCAGTGCCCAGGCAGTGCACACCAAGTGACCTGCTTCGCCCCAGCGGTGGGATCAGAACTTGCATCTATCCGTGCTTTTCCTTTGTACCTTCCTTGTAGGAGAAAGGCAGCAGAGACAGCCTCCTTGCCTTGGGGGGGATTAGCATTACTTTAGCAGGAATGAAAACAGAAAGAAACAGTGTCTGGTCTTTTTGGTATCCAAAGGAGGCCACAGAGCATTCCTCGCCCTTCACAGCAGCCCATGTCGCCCGTGGTGAGACACACTCGCCACCAGCTGGGAAGAGCCTCCCACAGACAGCAGCCGCCCGGGAACTGTCCAGGGTCCTCGAGGATTCCTGCTGGGCCCTGAGCTTTTGCGGAGCCCCAGCAAAACTTCTCTATGCACCCCCTTTTCAGTGGTACCCCGTCCTTTTACAAAGGAGACTTAAAGGCCCCTTAAAAGATGGGGGCAGGAGTCGCAGTGGTGTAGATGGGACAAGGGTGAACTCCACCCCACCCTTCCTGGATTAAAATGTTGAGTCCTCACAGTAAGACAAGAGAGAATATGATGATGATCCCAGCTCACGGATCCTGAAAGCTGAGTAGTAACATTCTCGGGGCGTAAGAGTCAGTGCGCTAGGACTCACACTTCCCACCTGATTCCGACTCCAAGACCCCTCCTCTTTGTCCACCAATTCTCCCGTATAAATGGAGGGTCACACTCGGTGCTGTAGAGAAACGAGGACACCCACTTGCCCTCAGGGAGTTTCACCCAGGAAGGCAAAACTCAGAAAACCACCACACGCTAACTGTGAGACGCAGCCTAGGCAGGAAACAGGAATTCAGAGGGCAGAGGGGAAGCGGGTGGGGGATATCCGTGGCATTGCTGGCCGGAGCAGGACGAGCAGACTGAGGAGGACCGAGGACATGAGGTCACGGATGGAGACTTGAGATACGAGGTGCCTGGGGACGCTGCGTGGAGGGTTGGGAGAGCCAGAGAGGACAGAGCGTGACAGGTCCACGCAAGTGCCCACCCATGGCTGCCCCCACTGCTCCCTGCTGGGGAGAAAACTCGGACTTGCCGCTCCCAGCTCCCCCGTCTCACCCTGCCATGGGGGAATCCATCTGTTCAGACCAATCACCAACTATTAGGAAGCAGAATCAGACCACACAGAGGAAAACTGAACGTGAACCTGTGGGAAGGAAGCTACGGAACATCTCAGCAGGTGAGACTGGATTGCGCTTCATTGCAAGGAACTGGAAGTGAGAGAAGGAAGAAGAAGCGAGTTTGGGGTGTCCAGGGTCAGCAGAGATTAAGGTGTTGGCAGCAGGGATGGGGAAAGGAGACAGATTCCAGAAATAGTTTAGAATCAAGAGGACTTATAGGTAGGTCATGGTGCATATGCATGTGTGTGCACGTGTGTGCGCGCACGTGTGTGTGTGTGTGTTGAGAATCGGGAGACAGGGTAATATCATGACCCCTGAATTGCTTTTCTAGTAGGGGTGTGATGGTGATTATTGAGCTGGGGAAGATCTTGGGGAGGGAAAAATTGGGGGGTGTTAAGGAAATGTTGGGCAGACATGAGACAGACAGACATGTGACATTTGAAATGTCCTTGAGAGACCCATTTAGCTGTCAAGAAAGCAGCTGGACACATGAGTTTGGGATTTGGATGAGAGGTGCAAACTGAAGCATGACCCTGGGGACCTGAGAGACCTTTCTAGCCCATTTAGCAAAGCAGTTTTCTTTCTCTATGTCATAATCCACTTGGGGTCTCACCCAACCCCATCACACTGCATAGGGATGTGATAAAACCTTGCAACCCACCCAGACAGGTGACAGGTGCCACGCAGGTTGGACAGGGAACAGCTGATCAGACACATAGGTGAGGCCCTTAACACAGGGGACCAGGCTGTACCTGAAGACTCAGGGTCATATCTGGCCTAGACATCAATGTGTGTCCACATGTGGCCTCTGAGCACTGGGGCACAACAGATCATGTTAAAGAAAGAGCCTGGGATAGTCAGAGCCAGGTGGTCCCTGCTGCTGCCACAAGACCAGGACATCCATCACAGAGGGTCATGTCCACCTTGATCTCCATTATCTGCCCAGATGTGCCTCTGGTACCCATGAGGAACTCAGTAAGAACCAGCAATATGGATGTGTAGGTGGGTAGGTGAGAGGGAGGGAGGGAGGGAGGGAGGGAGGGTGGAAGAGGGAGGGAGGAGGGAGGGAGGGAGGGAGGGAGGGACTCCTGCATGTATGTATGTATGGATGAATAGGTCTAAATTTTATCACATTCCCCTGTTGCCAAGAATGAAGGCAGCCAAAATTTAAAAGTCCCTAAAACCCACATTTTTGTATCATAGTAACCTGAAAGCACCTCCTTCAGGAGCAGGAGAGGGTCACACTCAAGAATGTGAGTCCCACGCCTGGGATGGCCCCACCAAGGCTGTGAGACCTTGCACTCACCTCCTAACCTTTGAGACTCAGTTTTCACCTACGTGAGACGGAATGATAACCATACCTGTCTCATTTGTCTCTAATGATAACCAAATGAGATACTCCATGTAAACTTCATAAAACAATGTCTGACAAATAATAAGTGCACAAGAAATTAGATGTCCTCCCACCTGCCCTTTCCCCTCTCCCCACTGTCGGACGTCAACTCTCACTGGACTGTGCTGCCCTCCCGGCCACACCACCCACTCCCGCTCCCTGACTCTCTGACCTGCTCTCTGACTCCTGTGGGCTCTAATAAATCATCAGCAACACAGAAAACAACTCCACACAGTTTGCACATGCTGGGACGACTGTGCTAAAGCCTTCATAATCCAACTCCAAGGAAGAGCATCTGGTACTTAATTTTTAAAATGTAATATATATTTAATGCAACATTAATATTTAATTCGTTTAATGCAATATTTAATTTGATATCCAATGCAAATAAAAATAGTAAACAGATTTATTAATGATTTACACAAGTACTCTCCTATTCTGTTCTTAAAGCATTTTTCTGCCCAGAAAACAATCTTCTACCCTCCAGAAAGCAAATATGGGAAGACATTCAAGCTGGTTCTTGTAAGTGGGTCAGAGTTGTCATCCTGTGAATGGGCTAGGCCAAGACGCCGCAGCCACGGCTTTCGTCTGTCCATACAGCCAACAAAGGCATGTTATGTGCTGGGAACTAGGCTCGGCTCTGGTGCAAAGGAAGAGGAGGCCCTCCTCTTACAGAGCTCGTGACCCAGGTGGAAGATAAAATTCTGTGACAAATGAAATAACGACTAGGAAGGGAATAGTCACACTGGGCACTAGCAGGGCGCCTAACCCAGACCTGGGGGTGGGCTATGGTCAGGGGAGGCCTCCTGGGGAAGGCAACATCTAAACCGAGATAACTTGGGAACAGGGAGGAAGAGTGTTCCAGGCAGAGGGAAGAATTAACTCAAAGGATGCTGCAGACTGCATGTCCCTGTGTCCCCAAAATGCATATGTTGAAACCCTAATCCTCAATGTGATGGTGTTCGGAAGTGGGTCCTTTGTGGGGGGTGATTAGGTCAGCAGAGTGGCACTCTCATGAAGGGGGTGAGTCCCTCTCAAGGAGAGATGACCTTTCTCCCCTCCATATGAGGACATACTGAGAAGGCAGCCGTCTGCAAACCAGGAAGAGAGCCCTCACCAGGAGCCAGAGCAGCCAGTGCCTGGATCTTGGACTTCCCAGCCTCCAGAACTGTGAGAAATACATTTTTGTCATTTAAACCACCCAGTCTATGATATTCGTTATAGCAGCCCAAGCTGACTAAGACAAAGGCCTAGAGACAGAGCTGTGCTAGGGCCAAGTGAAGTTCAGAACGGCTGGAGAAGAGAATTAGGGAGCAGCTTGAGTTGAGGCTGGGCCTCATGAGCCAGGTAGAGGGGCTTGGACATTATTCCGAGGGTGACGAGATTTAAGCACTGAAGTTACATGACCAGTGCTGCACTGGAGGGGGGCTACCCTCGCTGTGAGACAGGTCCACAGCTAACAGCTGTTCAAGTAATCAAGAGAAGAGACGTAGCCAAGGGAACAATGGCAAGAAAATGGGCAGATTCAAAAAATATCTAGTATGCAGAACTGACAGGCGTGGTGACTGAGAATGTCAGGTGAGAAAGGAGAATGAGGCAAGGGCACGCTACGTAAATGATTTAATCATCAACTCACTGTTATCTTTATTGCTGACGTCTTGGTGGCACCCTCAGGGACTACACAGAGTGAGCCTATCTCTCTCTCTCCACGGCACGACTTTTCAAATCTGTTCCCCAAGACCAATGTCACCCACGGGAGCTGTGGAGTATGATGACAGACAATGTGGGTCTCACTTGGCTTCGCCCTGTGTGCATCAAACAGCCCAACGTGACTTTGAAACAAACATCCAACAACAGGGGACTGGTTGAATGAAGCACATTCTTACGCAACTTTAGAGATGGACTCCAACATTAACGGGCTTAATGCATTACAAATGTTCTGAGTGTAGACAGAACACTCTCATTTTAAAAATGTTTGGGTTTTTAAAAGAATGATATATGCCATATTATGATTAATCTTTCAATTCACTTATTCTTTCCTATTTTTCTATATTTTCCAATTTGTTTCCCACAATGTATATGTATTTCTCTAGTTCCAAGACCAACGGTCTTTATTTCAAGAATTTATTTCTCAAGAGCAGGGTTCTCTGGCCAAGCCCCTTCCATTCCCCCTGCCTAGGATGCTCTTCTCCCACCTTTTTCCTACTGGGAGCTGAGCATAATTATCGTCTTCCTGACCACCCTAAGGAAAGCCCCCAGTGGACAACGGGATAATGAACCCCTTCCTCCTCCTGCACCAGAACTTAACCTTTAGTTAACTTCCCAGAACTATCTCCCTGGTAACCTAGTTAGCTGAGATGTCAATTATCCTACTAGGCATTGCTCAGGATAAAACTGACCTCTCACAGATGCTTTTGCATCTGGCCTGGGAAGAACCATAAATGAACTATGAGACCCCAATGAGGTGCCATGCCCAGGATGTCATTACTCTGTAATGGGATGCTCCTTGCGGAGGTCCTGATAGCTCTGTCTATGGCAAAGTGACAAGAGATATTGGCTCCAATGACGCATGCAGCTTCCAACTCAGGGCAGACCGACACCTGCCGCAGGTGCAGCCACCTCCTTACTCCGGAGCTCTGCTGTGGGCACTGCTGGTGAACAAGGACGCCTGGTGTGGTCCTGGTGGCCGGCGAGGCTTCCTACCCTCTCGTCCTAGAGCACAGGAAGCCAAGAGCGTGCTGTGGTATTCTCACAAGTCTGGATGTTTAGGTGAATCTAGACCCTCGGTGCACTTCCCTACTCCCACTACTCCCTCTTGTATTGCCCCGGTTTTCCTTCATGGAACCCTTTACACTTGGTTGTTGATAATCTGTTTATTGTCACTTTGTCCCCTAGACTTGAACCTTAAGGGGGGTCAAGGACCATGTGTGCTTTGTTCGTCACTGTAAACTCAGCTCTCACCCTAGTGCCTGGCACTATCAGAGGGAGGGAGGGGAAGGGGTGAGGAGGAGGAAGAGGAGGAGGGAGAATGGGAGACTGATTTAAAAACTAGAGGAGGAAATTGCTAGAAACTTGCAAGAGGCAAAATAAGAGGTAAACTGAGTCCAAATTGCAGGACTTTCTGAAAGACACATGAGCGATGAATCACCCCAAGGGCCTTGAAGAGATGCTGAAACGTGTGAAGGTTCGTGGTTTACATTCCACAAAGGTCACCTGGCAGCAGCGCGGAGGAGGGGGATGGTGCGTTCCATGTTAGACCTCCCAGGAGCGACGCCAGCCAGACCTCTGGAGCTCAGGGAGACACGCAGAGGTAGGGAATGTGGGCACGAGGACAGGTGTGGGGCAGGTGGGTGTCACGGGCATGACTGAGACCATCCAGGAAGTGCGTAAAGTGAGATCCGGAAGGGCCAGAGATAAAACTCCGGTCGTCTGGTGCAGAACGACAAGAAGGAACCGAGAGGTACCCGTGTGTGGGGCTGAGGCCCAATGAGAGACAACGTCTCCGCACTTTGAAGACTCATGGCCTTGCACTTGCACGTCTATTTGTGGAGTTGATTTCCTTCTTAACTGACAGTGCTTCTGCCTCTATCTAGTCTTTTGAAAGCAGAGGAAGCTCCGTCGTGGCAAGCAGGGCTCCTTCTCATCTTCCAGTCCTCCCAAGGTCCTGCACCTAGTAGGTCCCTAATAACCTCCTTCATCTGAACCCTTCAAAGATGGGGGGGTTGAAACTGATTAGTTTCAATCCAGACTAACTGCTTTTTTAAATTCTCATATAAATCTGACTTTTAATAGGTTCTGAGAATCGATGTTTCATTATTTTCTGCCACAGTGGAGATTATCCCTGTTGATGGGTCATTACAAATCGAGGCTCTCCGAGAGGTCTCCCTTCTGTCTCTCATTTCCTGATCTTTCTGCAGGATTATCTTTGTTCTTCAGAGCAAAGGGGGGAAGAAGTTAAATGGGTCTTAGAAATTAACAACTGGGACCAAGCAGACCAGAGGCAGAAGAGCTGTGGCTCTCTCACGCTCACACCACACAGGCTCCGTATTGTTCAACAGGAATAAGGAGGCAGCTTCATTCGTGGCGGTCTCAATCGGATTGATAATCTCAGTGTGGATCTGCCATTCACTGCATGCCAACTGTATACCAGGCACTGGTCCAGCAGGTCACGTTCGGCTTCATTTAATCATTGCAATAATGATTAAATACGTGTGGACTGTGATTAGCCCCATGTTCCCACTGGAACTCAGAGAGGCTTACCCTTGAGGCTACCCAAGTCACAGAGCTGCTGAGTTGTACGGGGCTGCCGGGAAACCCGTATATCTTACTCCAAACCAGGCTTCCATTTGTATTGGGGGCATAGCTCCAGTTCTGAGTTCCCTGGAGTCCTGGAAGAGCCAACCCAAAAGTCACATAGGGTCCAGTGCATCTCCTGCCCAAAGCCCCATTCCCTACAAGGCATCAGAGCTAGATTTCACTATAGAGTGGTTACAGCAGCCAGCTTCTCCCTGACTCTGACCTCAGGAAAACAATCCTTTTTCTTTTCCTTGGCACTGAGATTGCTCTGTGGATCCATTTGCATAAATCCAAGCAAAACAGGACACCCTAGAGAACAAAAGAAAGAAAGGGATGTGCTCAGGCTCTCCAAGCAGCAGCAACTCCTTTTGATGCCAAATGGGCCCTCCCCACACACGGCCTTGCTGGTTGTGCTGCGGCAGGGTTCAAACGTGACAGAGCCACCAGAAGGGACCCCCCAAACTGGCTCAGATTTTCTGGGATCTGTATGTGCCAAGGCTGAAGAAAACAACGAGCAATAAACCTCTGCAGACAATTGATCACTCATCTGTGCAGGACTCAGAGCATCAAGCTCACCCCTCGTTATCACTCTGGCATTTTTTTTAGGGTAGAGAGTGTCAGGAGGGAGACAGCACAGAGGGTGCCATGCCCCAGGCCAGGAACCCCACAGGACTGGGCTCAAATCCTGCCCGTAAGACTCTGGGCATGTCACCTCCGCTGCCCAAGCCTTCCTCATTGGTACAATGAGATCAGTCACAGTTTCCACCTCCTTAGATCCAAGCAGCCAATGCATGCAGGGGACCTGCCCCAGTGCCTTGCAAACAGTGAGAACTCAGTAAGTGTTAGTTGCTGTGATTATTCTCTCTACACAGCTAACTGCATGCAGAGAGCTCTGCATAGCTTCAGGTAAATTGGGAGGGGAGATGCACAAAGCCAGAGATAGAACATGTACTTCCATGTTTTCCAGCTCAATGTTATACTGCAGAAACAGCACAGAGCCTGAGAGACTAGGGTTCAAATACTGTGTCCCTTTAGATCTTGGGCCAGTTTTTTAACCTTGTAGTGCTTACAGTCTGGAGTGAGAGACAGGCAATCAATCATACAAATAAATGCATAAACAGAAACTGAGACTTGTGCTACCATGAAGGAAAGCAGTACACAATTCTGAGAGAGCAACATAACAAAGCAACCTGAGCTCCACTGTAGGGATGAGGGGTGGGAGCGGGAGAGACTTCCCTGAGGAAACTGAGATAAGTAGGAGTCATTACGGAAAGAGGGACAGGGGTAGCATTTCCGGTGGGAAAATGGCATGTCCAAAGGCCCTGTGGTAGGAAGGAGGATGGTCCGATATGGCAGCCAGCAGGGTCTGCAGTAGAGAAACAGAGCTGACACTGAAGAAGCAAGTGGCAGGTGGATCATGCCATCTTTAGGAATAAATGTATTACACGTCTGAGGTCTTTCTCTTCTCTGCTCCTTGATGTATCATAGATGCTTAGTGCAATGCCAGCACAAAGCTGGTACTCAAAAATATATTTGCTGAACTTCCAAAACGTGCCTTCAGATAGTTTATTAGTAAGTCAGTCACACGGGGTGAGTGCACACTGCACCAAGCACTGCTCCACAACAGGAAATGCCAGGGGGGCAGGGGGTTCAGGGTCCTAGATTTTCAGCAGCCACAAGAGGCTGTGGTCCTAGAGTACCTACTGGGTGCAGGTTCACAGGCTCTTTGTCCCAGTCTCCTGCCTGTGCCAGAGAGACACAGAAAACAGGGTGCACCCGGCAGTACTGCCTCATGAGGTAGTTTTCAGGGAAATGGGTGCTTGACAGCCCATGCAGGGGAGGCGGCTACTTCCCAGCTGTCCATTCTATTTCAGTGAACAACCAGCCCCATTCCACGGCATAATGTCCCAAACACACCGCATTCACGTTCTTTGCCTCTGGAATGCACTTAGCACTTCCTTCCTCTCTTTGACTCAGGTGAGTCGGACGAATGGTTGGGAGTAGCAGGCATTGACAATCCCGGTGAAGGAGGAAACGTGGCGCTCGTGCTCAAAGAGACGGAGGGCTGCCCCTCTGCAGCCTCAACACCCCACCTTAGGGACGGGATGTCAAAGGGCACATCCCGCCCCTCGTCCGCACACATCCCGCCCCTCGTCCGCAAGCCGACTCCATCCACTCCCCTTGGCCGCCTCGTTGTCTCATCTGACTCCACCCTTCACTGGACAGAGACTGAGACCTGGCCCAGACGGAGCCAGTCCGTTGGCTGATCAGAAACCAATCAGGATCGCTCTGCACAGGGGCAGGAAAAGGCCATGCTCGGAGCAGTGGGCGCCCAAACTGAGAGGTCACACGGCAAGCAGGGTTGGCAGCCACCTTCAGCCATGAGCGCCCGTGCCATGCAAGCACGGCAGAGGCTGAGCAGCGAGTCAAGCCAGTTCACTGCCGGCTGCAGGGAAAAGTGGGAGGATAACACCATGTTCCAAGAGAAACAGATGAGAGACCATGTAACCGGAGAGACAGAGCAACACAGAGAAGGTAAGTAACAGGCTTAAGGTCACACAGCTTATAAGTGGCAGAGCCAGGACTTTAACCTAAGCCTAACTCCAGGCTCGGAGTTCTCACAACCACACAAGCTGCTCCAGCCAGAGGGTGGCAGGACAAAACTGCTTTGCAGGAACAGTACTGCAGGTGGGGAGGGGTGGCGGCAGAGTGAAAGCCGAGACCAGCCAAGAAGCTCAAGCCGCAGTCACGGTAGTATCTTCTTTGCTGATCCTGACGGTTTGTTTTGCTTTTATCGTCTACCGGGTACTTGTGTGTACCAGGAAAAGTGCTAAGTTCACATCACTTATCCCACTGACTCCCCGCAAGAGGTCTGTGCGGGAGTTATCGTGAATCCTTGTTACAGACGAAGCGGAGCCTCACAAGAGAAGGCCGCTTCCGTGTGGAGCTGGCCCGTGAGCCCGGGTCTGTGTGACACCCAAGACCACGCGCCCTGACGCAGGGCGCCCTCCACCCAAGAGAAGGCCGCTTCCGTGTGGAGCTGGCCCGTGAGCCCGGGTCTGTGTGACACCCAAGACCACGCGCCCTGACGCAGGGTGCCCTCCACCACGCCGAGTCCGGCCGCGGGGACCACACCGGCCTCTGGCTGTGGGGCGAGGAGGAGGAGGAGGCCAGAAGGACACGTCGGGGGCGAAACACCAGCACACCAGAGGCCCAACTGGGGAGACAGCGAGGGCCACCCTGCAGGCTAAGGAGGCAGAACCTTCCGCAAGTCCTAGAGACAAACGAGGAACCGAAACAGGAAAGAATTATTGCCAGAGAGCACTTCTGGAGAGTCTCCTAGATTTTTCCGTAACATCTCTAACTTTCCAAAGGAAGCGTACAGCCTGTTTTCGGGGTCCCGAGTGTTCTGAGACCACTGCGCCTTTCCCGACGCTTTGCCAACAGAAGCCAGCAACCCGATCGCTGTCCCCTTCGCCTGATAAATGTCTCCTCCCGGGGGCCGGTTACCTGGCTGCTATCGTCCTTCTGACGCAATTCATCAGCTGCAATTGTTACCTGCACGGCAAAATCTGTCTCCTTCCATTCCCCATTAATGCCGTGTAAGGGCACAACACAACCCTGGCATCTGCAGGCGGGTCTCGCCCAGGGTAAGAATTTACTTTCAAAACCATTTACATCCATCCACAAAAATCAATGTGCTTGTTAAAGGGTCTTTTACCTGTTAAGACAATAAAGATTCTTCAACAAACTGGATGCTCTTTTCACTCCTCACATCCCCTCTAAAAGCATACCCAGGGAGCCAAAGAAACAGAACGAAAACTAATCCTGAGAAAAGATATTTTAGTTTGCAGATGACAGAACTTCCCTTGTTTAAAAGCAATTTAGCATATAGTACTGGTCAGCGTGTTCCTCTTTAAATCATCCAGAAAAATTTAGCGGCAGTGGTCCAAAGCAGCTCTGAGTTATACGGGTAAAGACAAGCCACCCTCAAAATGTGAGCAACCAGTAACAGGCTGCTATGTCTCAAGCGGCCCACCAAGGGGGCCGAGAAACACGGTGCGGAAACAAGAAGTGCGTGCAGGGAAGACCACAGGGACCGTGCCTCACCTCTGATTGCCTTCGTGTAGGAAGCTCAGGGTTCAAGGAAACGGGCATCTGCTGCTACAGGTAGGACTGGAGTCCGTTGTAGCTGAGTGCTTGTCTTGAACTCTTTCATTGCCCAACAAATGTTAGTCGCCTACTCTGTACTGGAGACTATAATGCCCCTAAGGAGAGCCATGATCTCACCCTCAGAGAGCTGACAGTCAAGTGCAGACGTGCGTGGCCAAGGCCAAGCTCTGGGCATGACGAGTCCGTTGCACACGGGAACATTTCAGCCAGGATGTGAGGTGCGAGGAGGAGAAGCCAAGAGGATAGGGCGCTTCCATCACACACCCCGTCCTGGTGGATCTCAAGTCTAGACAGTCCTCAAATGGGTCCCCTCTTCTCTCCTCCCTGGCAACATCGCTCTGGTCTAAGTCACCCCGATTGGACTATCGAGACGGCTCCTGGAATCCACCCTGGTCCCCCCCCACGCCTCTGCCTAGCTGCCAGAGTAACATGAAAGGGTGTTCCAAGTACAAATCTGATCACGCGCCCCCTGCTCAAGCCCACCAGGAGAGACAGAGGACGAGGACGGGGGCCCTGACTTCCCGGAGCAAGCCCTGCCTCGCCGCTGCCTTCCTGGCACGTGGTCCTGGGAGAGCATCTCAAACTTCACTTTCCTCGGCTGCAAAACTGGGCCAGGAACAGCATAGGGCAGACTTAATGAAATGACCGACATTCCACTACCTTGGACCTACAAGAACAGCAATTGCATACTGTCCAACCTGATACCTCCACCACGGGGCCATCGTGAGAGGCAGTGAAGTCAGCACAGAGCCTGGCACACGGCAAAGCTCTGCACAGGGCGGCAGTCACTCGCCTCCTCATTCCTCCCTCTGCTCGGCCCTCCCCCCTTCCTGCTTTGCAAACATTCCCTCTGGCCGTCCTGGGCAGCCAAGCTGCTGGCTCCACGGGCCTTTGGCCCTGAGACCCTGAAACATCTGGGGCTGGGGGGCAGGAGGAGGCACCATCCTTCCCCCAGTGTTACGGCCCACCAGTGGGGCCATCTTTATTTCTGGCCAGTTCCGCAGAGTTGACGTCTACCTAGCACAGAGGAAAATTGTTTCTGCCACATCCTCCAGTAAGAATGATTTTCTTCATGCTCCGTTTGTCTACAACTGTCTTTCCGATCATCCTCCCTGTTAGCACATGGCCTACACACTTGAAATTCAGCCAGAGGAACTAGGCGAAATTTATGATCCACTGACGACTGAAGCCCCGAGCGATCAGATTTGAATGTAAATGTTGGGATGAGGTCATCAAAAGCAACAGGTGGCGAGATAGCCCATCTGCAGCCCCGCCACACTCGAGGCCCACACTGTAATCTGCTGCTGATTGAAAGCATCGATCGCACAACCGACATTAATGCATGGCACACACACACACAAAAAGTCCCAGCCTTTTATTTTGAGATTATAATTTTTGATGGAGTTCCAAACGCCTCGGTGTCACTATTAACGTCAGCATTTTTTCCAATAATGCTGTGCTCAAACAGAACAATTCATTAGTGCTAAAACCAATTTACTGGAATGGGCTGAAAACCTCCTCGGTTTTCTCTATTAATGTATTACAAGATGAAATATTTCATGAGCCGCTGGTTGACATGCCTGACACTTCCTCTCTCACGCTGCTTAGCTCCTCAAGGTGGAAAATCTCCCTTCGGCAGATGAGATGCCAGGGACGAGCTAAGCAGAGAGGGAAAAAAAAAAGCCCGGCTCTCAAAATAGTTTACTGTCCTTCCAAATAGAGATAGTCCCCTTCTGTATTTTCCAATACCTTGCAATATAATCCTCAAGATAATTGAAATAATCAAAGCAAAGTGCTTAATATGGTGTCTGACCCAGAGTAAAAGCCCAGGAAATATTAGCTATTATACTTGGGGAGGGCATAAACGCTGGAGTGGTTAAGGACGCAGGTGGCAAGTCACATGGTGAGTTCAAATCCCAGCCTGTCCATTTCCTAGTCAGGTGGCCTGGAGCTCAGCACAAACCTCTCCAGGCATTAGTTTGTTTTTTGCCATCATTAAAATAGGCATATGTTGATCCGCCTGGGGCTGCCGTACCAAGTCACCACAGATTTGGTGGCTTGGAACAACAGAAATCTATCCTCTCACAGCTCTGGGAGCCAGAGGTCCAGAGTTCCCGTGTCAGCAGCCACGCCCTCCAAAGGCTGCGGGAGGAGGGTCCTTCCTGCCTCTTCCAGTTTCTAGGGGTTCCTGGCATTCCTTGGCT